TCGCCGATGTATCGGCGGCGTCGCCGATGCATCGGCAGCGAAGTCGGCTTGACAATCATTTCGGACTCCAAATTCGACCCGCAACGCCAACACATTAGCGATGTGGCGCGACCCCCCGAGCCCATCCAATCGGACCCCATCTGGGAGGCCTGGAAATGCTCAGCGCGCACGTGGCCCAGAAAACAAACGACACCACCCCACCTGCGGCCCCAGGGTGCTTAGCGTATACGAGGAGATCTGGCATAGGCCGTTCCGTGGGATACGCTACGGCGCCCGATGGCCGATGGGCCGTAGCGCAACATGGAGGGCCGTAGGTGTGCCGGTGTCTATTTCCTTTTGTCGAGCACGACCTCGACCTTCCAGGATCCACCTCGAGCCTCGCCCTCCGAGGATCCAGGCCCGAATTTTCAGACGTCACCTGGCTCCCTCCGTGGGCCTCCGGGAGGCCCCGCGTGGCCACAGGTGCGACCAACCGTGTAAGGGCCCACAGGGCGCCGCCAGGAGGCTCGCACCCACGAGGGCCAGCGCGGACGACTGCCCAGGGACCTCCTCCTCCCCCTCCTCCTTCTCCTCCTCGTCCCTCCTCCTCCTCCTCCTCCTCCTCTCCTCCTCCTCCTCCTCCTCCTCCTCCTCCTCCTCCTCCTCCTCCTCCTCCTCCTCCTCCTCCTCCCTCCTCCTCCCTCCTCCTCCTCCTCCTCCTCCTCCTCCTCCTCTCCTCTCCTCCTCCTCCTCGGGATCGGCCTGCAAAGGCAACTTTCGGGCCCCGGCGACGAGCAGACGGGAACCGCTGCCCCCCCCCCCCCGCCGGAGACCTCGGGGGCCCGTGAACAGAGAAATCCCATCGTCGGGAGTCCTCGGCAGGAACAGCCCGCCCTGGGGAAGGGTCCAGGGCCGAAGGAGGGGGCCCACGTTGTGCACAAATCGCCACACTCTGGAGCTCAAGAGGAGGAGGAGGAGGAGGAGGAGGAGGAGGAGGAGGAGGAGGAGGAGGAGGAGGAGGAGGAGAGGAGGAGGAGGAGGAGGAGGAGGAGGAGGAGGAGGAGGAGGAGGAGGAGGAGGAGGAGGAGGGGTGCCCGGAGACGGCGCCGCTCCGAGCGTGCCTCCAGGACAGGGCCCGGCGCAGGGGGGCCGCATGGAAAGGGGCACAGCAAATCGTTCCAAGGGCTTCTCCACCTCCAAGCCTCGGGGCCGGGCGCAGGGTCAGGTCGGGCACGTCCTCCCACAGGCGGATCTTGGAAGAACATACGACACAGGCAGACACGATTCAAGCATTATCAAAATTCTGAAAAATCATCCCCACAGGATGTTTGGACTATTTTTGAATACTCCTCCCGTAGAGGGACATGCCCACCTTAAGCGTAGGGCCTATGGGGGAGCGGATCTTGGGATCGGTTCGGGGCAAGTCGGCTGCCCCCGAAGGCCCGAAGGGCGCCCGACCACTCGCGTCCCGCACCGCGCGAAGCGTCGGTTGGGCATATATTCGCGCGCTCGCGCCGCCCCCTTGAGAGAGGCAGCTCTTCGGCCCAGACTGCGAAGCGCATCTTCGAGCATCTTCGCGCCAGTGCGACGGGTGACCCAGGTATCCTTCTTATTTGTTTTCAAGTTGTAGTATTCTTCTTCTCGAATATTTACGCTCATCCTCCTACCGTTTCTTCCTTTGGATTCGGCGGATTGGTCCAGAGCGAACTGGCTAGAGCGAAGGGCTGGGCCGGGCCAAGTGCAGGGCGCTTGCGCTGCGAACACGGATGGCCAGATATGGAACCCGAGATGGCTTGCCGCCCCCTCCGTTGTGTCCCCGGATGCACGCAAAGAGCCACCTCTGCCACGAGCGACCTTTGGTTGCGCGGCGTTCTGCGGGCCGCGCGGGGACCAAACACAGGCACGCAGAACGCTGCTGCCGCATCGCGCTCGGCGATCGGAGGCTCCAGTGGGCCCGCACCACGGGTCACTCTGGCGAAGGGTCACCCTCACGTGCGCCCGATGAGACCTCTCCCCCCTCCATTGGCGGCGCGCACAAGAGGTAGGGTCGAGGGGGGCAGGCTCCCTGGAGGGAGGCTGCTCCTTATGATTAGAAGGCGTGGGCCCTCCGCAGGCAAGGCCCGCGCCCTCCAAGGCGCGCCTCGCGGCTCCTGCTCCTGCCACCGCTCTTCCTCGTCCTCCTCCTCGCCCCCCTCCTCGCCCTCCTCCTGCTCCTCCTCCTCCTCCTCATCATCATCATCATCAGCATCATCATCCTCCTGCTCCTCCTCCTCGTCCTCCTCCTCGCACTCCTCCTCGTCCTCCTCCTCGACCTCCTCCTCGCCCTCCTCCTCGACCTCTTCTTCGACCTCTTCCTCGTCCTCCTTCCCCCCCCCCCCTCGACGCGTGGCAGACTTTTCCTGCCGGGCCTCCGCCCACGAGGAGGCCGCGCGCGAGGAGGCCGACCAGGTCGGCCCGCATGGCGCCCCGGCGGCCGCGGCGGAGGCCGCTGCCGCGGGGGGGCCCGCGCGGCCCGAGGGGGCCGCGCACCCCCCTTGGGCCCGCACTGCCAGCAGGATGCCCTGCCCTATGCTAATCGGCCTCGAGCTGACTTCTATCGGTACGGCTGACAGGCCGAAAGGAGATGACAATCGTAGGGGTGCCCTCTCAGAATCTGAGGGGAATTCCTCAGATCGGCATGCTGAGAACGTATCTCTATGATTGGCATCGCTCATCACTGATAAGGCGATGCCAATCTAAGGGAAGGGATGTGCTTCAGGCTGGTAACATGCGCAGGGACCAGCGAGCGGCCGCCCATGGCTCCGCACACACTCACACACACACACACACACACACGCATATGCTGTTCGGTCGTCGCGTGCGGGAACATCTCCTCGCAGTCCAGCCCGCGCGTGGAGAACCGCTCGAGCGCCCAGTAGCCGAAGAGAAAAAAGAAACGAAAGAGTCGGCCGGCCCCTCCCACTCCATGTTTGGCGATCGCGGCTCAACGCTCGGCGGTGGCAGGGAGAGCACACTCCATGTTTGGCGCTCGCGGCCTCGCGCGCAGCGACGAGGCGGAGCAAGTGCGCCCGAGCAAGCCGGCAGCGCGCGCGGCCGGCCCCTCGGACAAGGAGCAGGGCTCCAGACGCGCACACACACGCACACGCACACACACACACGAACCGACTTCTCTTGGGCGCCGCGCCCACGCGCGCGGCGGCGCGGCGTAGAGAGAGTGGGGCGAGGAGGCGCGCGCGTGCGGCCCAGGTCACGGGGCGCGGAGGCCCAGGATACACGCACGCACACACACACACACACTCACCCACACACACACACACACACGCACTCTTCGTACTTCCCGGCTGGTGGATATCCAACGCAGCGAGGGGCTAGGGCGGGACACGGCGTGGCCTCCTCACCTCCAAGCCTCTGCTGACGGATGGTCAGAACCTGGCCGACGCGTGCAAGGAAAAAGCGGGCCGGAGCCAGCGCACGAGGAACAAGCATAACGGCATGCAGCAGCCAGAAAAGTACAGGAACACGCACACACGCACAAACACACAAACGTACACGCAACGCGGCAACACCACGTTCGCACGGCCGTGAACGACATGATACGCCACACAAAGCACCTCTCAAGCGGCACCGTGTTACATTGCGCCAACCATCACTGAATATATGTCATGCACACGGGCTCAATTAACGCATCCGACTTGCAATGTGGTCCGAATGGGCACACGGTCTATACATTTCCCATCCAAGACCCTGACCACCGTACTATAGCATATGGTTACATGCAGCGGGAAGTGCGTGTCACATGATAAAGGACCGACACTCTAATATCGAAGATGTACAACACGGAACAAGAGCCCATACACACATGATACAAGTCATCAGCCACGTATGGGCCTTGCCGGATCCCAACCCACAGGGCAAAGCAATAGGCCACGAAGGCAACGCAACGGATTGCGAGTTAACGTATTACCCAGCAGTACAATGCAACGCAAAATAACATGAAGCAAAGCAACGCCACGTGATGGGCCACGTCAAGTGATACGTACTAGGCACATCGACGGAATACAAAGCAAACCAGAGCAAGGCAATACAGTGGACAGGAAAGCAGTGCAAACAAATCCACCAGACAACAACAGCAGCGTCAAACAGCGCACAACAACACACAGCCATGCTAAACAATGGCAGGCAATACCCCGCGGCGTTGAGCTAGAGAAAACAATACAACCTCCAACGCACGTGCGATCCTCGAAGTCGAGGCCTTCTCTGGAGCGCCCCATCTGGAGGGAGAAAATGCAGCGAGGGCAGGGCGCGAGCCAAACGTCGCTCCTGTGTTGAACGCCACTTGCGCGTCGAACGACGCAGAAAAATGAGAACGGCGCCATCCCAACAAAAAACTGCTCGTTTCGCTTTCCGGCCCGTCGCCCGCGAAAACGCAGCCAACACGGCCGCGCGCGGGCGCCCGAAAACAACACGGGGAAACGAGCACGGCATGCGAACACAGCACCACAACGCTGTGCTCGCAACGGGAAGCGAGTGCCATGGCTGATCGGCTCGGCGGGGATGCATCCACAACCTCCGGCTGAGAAACCGAGGTTCCAAGACTCCAGGGGCCGGCTGGTAACGATATACTTTTGGCCCCAGGGGGCCCGAACATACCCGCACCCACTGCCTGTTAAGGTCCCCGAGGATCACCCTCCCAGGCAGTGGCTACGGATAAACCCCCACCCCTGAATTACCAAGACTGAGCGGAAACGTCGGCGTTAACCTTGCTCATCGTCCATCTGGGTCAGCGTCCATTCGTGGATTGTCATCGCGAGTCGGCAATGGCAGGCATGGGGGCATGGGCCAGGAACCAAGATCGGCGTCGCCGAGACCCCGCGACACCCTGGCCATGGCAACCGTCGTGTCTCTTCCCTCGGCCATCCTACGCAGGCAGGCAGGCAGGCTGCTTCTGTTCTACGTTCACGGGCACCCTGCAAGGTGGCGAACCCCCGAAGGGCCCCCACCCGGGCGCCAGGGGGTGTGGCTCACGGCGCCGCTTCCCGCAACGCCGCCAGAGCCCGCACCTGCTCCTCCGCCGGCAGCGCCGCCACGAGGGCCGTCTGCTCCATCATCCGCAGGCAGGGCGGCTCCTGCCATGGGCACCCTGCGAAGTGGCGCACAAAGTCTCCAGGGCGCCACTCGTATGCCATCCAATCCGTCGAGGCGGGCGGCACGAATGCGTTGAAGTGCGCCTGGTGGATTAGCCGGACTTGCGGCGGGTAGCCGAAGTCGGCGCCGAAGTCGGCGAGGTCGATGTCCAGGGCACCACGCACCATTTCCCAGAAAAACATCGACTGATCCCACGCAACGGTGAAGGCACTCGCCGACACCCTCTCCAGGAATCCCAACGACCACTCAGAAGCTCGCAGAAGGAAGAGTCCGGTGTTGATGCCGCCGGGATCCTCCGCCACGATGAAGTGGGCGTCTTCCTCGGCCTGGCCTCCGACGGCAAGGGCGTAGGTCCTCACCACGTCTTCCAAGGACACCTCCATGTCCGTGAAGAAGGCGTCGCAGTCGACGTACAAGATCCAGTCTGGCGCTGGCCCCTCGTCGGCAGTGGCGGCATGCTGCCAGGAGGGGGCGATTCCCTGCAACCGCTGGTACATTCAGAGGAAAGCCGGCCGAGACGACAGCTACGCCACGAATCTCTCTCCTTCTCTCTCTGTGTGTTAATATATATATATATATGTATATATAGACACATACAAACATGTACAGGTGCCCACCCACGACATTCGCTTGTACCTTCAGGGAGAGTGGCGGTGCATAAAGTCGCTGGCTCTCAGTGGTGATGCATATAACGCCACCCTCCCACTGGAGGCCCAGGAACAATCCACAGGAGCGTGGCTTTGTGAATTTTCTGTGATGGAACAGAGGCGCTTCCCAGCGTCAGGCGCCTCCTGCAGGCTTTTCGTCGCCACTTTGGACGCCCGACATGGGTACGGAAAGAATGGGGACAATGCCCAACAGCAGCTCCTGTTCATTTTGAACAGGACTCGCTGTCCGCGCCGCCGCGGCCTGCCCAACAGCGGCCGCTGTTGGTTTGGGACAACACTTGTGGTTGGGCAGTGTGCCCATTCTTTCCGTACCCATTTCGGGCGTCCAAAGCCACGGCTGGACCCGCCTAGGAACAGGGCGGGCCAGGAAGGGCCCCCAGAGGTGTGCGCGGGGCCTGCTTTTGAGAGCGGACTTGGTCCAGGTGGGGCAGCCGCCGACGTCTCAGCTGTCCCTCCTCCGATGCACGACGGCGAGCGAGGGGGGGAAGTGAGAAGGGGCGGGCCTTCTCAGAAGGCCCGGAAGTCCCCCGGCCTTCCAGACAAAAAAAAAATCCAAAGACGGAGCCAGGACGAATCTCTGAGATCCGGCGGCTCTGGAAGATGTCTCGGGCGCCAAGACCTTCTCAGAGCGTTCGGGAACGCTCTGAAAGTGTTCCGGAACGCTCTTGCACGGATTCATCCTCGTCCTAGTCCCGTCCGAGGGAAGCCTTACCCGAAAACGCAGAAAACTCCCAAGAAGGCGCGAGGGCTTCTGAGAAGTCCCGCCGCCTGCTGAGAAAGCCTTCTCCTTCTCACTTGCCCCCCTCGCTCGCCGCCGAGCTATACGACGTACATCTTGCTGTAGTGGGCCTCCCTGTCCGGGAGGGCGGACTCGGTGTGCACGACGTACCGGTAGCCGTGCCGCGCCGCGTAGGCGTGGTGGTTCGGCACCGACAGCCCCAGCAGCGGCGAGTCCGCGCCTGTCTTGGACGTGGGGTCTGGCCTGTACGAGCATATGCTGTGGACCTCGAAACGCCGGGGCTCGACGTCGCCAGCGCCAGAACGCTCGGGCGCACCGTCAGCCCTCAAATCCAGTGGCCTGGCGTGGAGGGTCTCGTGAAGCTGGGTCATCATCACCTGATACTCCACGTGCAGCCGTGGCAGGAAGCGCTTCGGTGGAGGCCGCGGCAAGGAGGCGAGCAGCTCGTCGCTGGGAGTCTTGCCGCCGTTGGCGCGCGAGAGCTCCTGGTGAACGGTGGAGAAGTCCTTCAGCGCCTGGAACTTGAAGGCCTGGCCCAGCTGCACAAGGACCCTCGCGCGGACGGGCTGGTCGAGGGCCAGGGCCCACTCGGCCACCACGAGCAGGTGCTGCGCCGCCGACGCGGAGCACTGAAACGCTGCCTCCAGATCTCCGTCGAGCAGCGCGTGCAGTGCCGCGAGGTAATGCGCGAGGGCGACCGCGCGATTCTGCGCACCGAACTGCCCCGCCATGTGCTGCCGCGCCTCCAGGGAGGCCTCCACGAGCGGCAGCCACGCCTGCAGCACGCCCGGCTCCGAGCTCGCGTCGGGGCACTCCTCCTCCAGCAGCTGCCTCGCGACGAGGCCGTACGGGCCCGTGTCCGCGCCGCCGACCAGGACCGCCGCACAGGCGAGGGCTGCGGCGCGCCAGGGCCGGGGGCCGCCGAGGCGCCGCCGCATGGCATGGCGAGGAGGCGCCGCCGGCAGGCCTGGCTCACGATCGGTGCGCGGCACAGGGCCGGACTCGAGTCGAAGAGGGCCCCACGGCGAGAGCAGCGTGAGAGAACCCGTGGTACGGGCGTGGACGCGGACTTGTGCATGTCCGCGAAAGCTGGCTACCTACCAGACCACCAGGCCACACCAATCCGACCCGAAGACCCGAATTCCGGGTTGGGGGGGTTCGGGCTTCATATATGTGTTTTTCAATGTTCCCCGACCCCCCACCCCACTGGGTGGTTTGGTGGACGGTGAATAGCGCAGGTTAGTTTCACCCACTGCGCGGAGGCCTGCCATATGCAAAACAAAAATGCGGTGGTTACGGTTTTCATTGGGCCGCCCTGGACATTCCGAGCTTGGTGCGGTTGGCGAACATCTCAAGCGGGGGCTGAGGGCTGGACGGGGACACGGCTAGGCGTGCTTTGTCCAGCACTCGCTGAGGCCAGCCACGCCAAGTGTATCCACAGGACGACTGCAACTGTACACTGACACCGGATCCAGCCAGGAAGATCCTGTGCCCAGGACCGCTGTGCCCGCTCTGCTGGCATAGCCACCACGGCATTTACAATGATCCTGGGCCCAGGAAGGGCCTAGCAACAATCGGTGCCGCTGCATCGGGGAGACAATCAAAAACGATGCTGCTGCTCCCTGGACCTCTGCTGGGGCCTGTTCTAACCAGGATCCCGAAGCGAATCCAGCCGTGGCGACGAGGGATTCGCAGCGTCATCGGTATATGCTTCGCCTCCTGGAGTAGAACAAAAACAACAACCGCCATGATCCTAAACTTTTGGCGCTCAGCGCAGATGTCGTCGATCTGCGCAGGAACCCCCGGGGCGGCGCTGGAGGCACTGTCGGGGGGGCCCAGCGCAGATCCAAGAAATCCGCGCGCAGCGCCAAAAGTTGATGTTTATGCCGTTTTTTTGGAGGCCTACAAATGGGCACCAACACCAACACAGGAGGTTGCCTCCACATGGGGACGATGATCCTAGATTTCGGTGTTGGTGGCAATATTTCGGTCACTTTGAAGCCAGATTATTACCACCATCACCGAGATCGGGATCTTCTTCCCTCGGTAGATGCATACCGCCGATTTTGGTGTTGGTGGCAATCTCTAGGCATGCGATTCCTCCGTCGACCGAGCCGAGACCGGTGCCGGGAAGCAAAGCTGTCGCCGCCCGCTGCATCAGCCTCCCAGTGGTGGCCCGGGAGCCGTGCGCCCAGCCCGGCACACTCTTTGCGCCGGCGGCCGCGTGCGCCGCGGCGTGGCGGCCGCAGGAAGCGCGAAACGAAACAACGGCATGCAGGCGGGCCCCGAGAATCTACACCACCGGCACGTCGATCCCTCCTCCCTCCTCTGCCCTCCTCCTCTCCTCTTTCCTGGTAGAGGGAGGGGGTAGGGGAGGTGGTGGGGGTGTATATAATTTGGGCCCCGTAATACACATAAGCTTCCGGAGCTCCGCGCGGACGTCTTGGAACTGCGACCCCCTGCCTGGCGCGCGGAGCGCGGCAGAGGCGGCGCCGGAGGCGCCGCCAGGGCGGCCCAGCGCAGATCCAAGACATCTCCTCTCCAGGCCGTCGAAAGTATGTGTCGACTCCATTCTTTCTTCCCTGATGAAAGGTGCCCAGGGATGCACAAAGAAATGCACACAAACCCCACGATCCCTCTTCATTTCCAATAGTATCTGAGTTTTCGTTCCCCCCCCCCACTTCCCATATTTTCCCATGTTTCCCTGGGAGTCGACGATTCATTGCGTCTGTAGTTTTCGCTCCCCCTGGAGAACGCGAGGCGAGGACGGACCAGGAGAGGCGGCGGCCAGCGCGGCGAGAGCGGACGACAGAGGAGCGGGCGAGAAGGGCACAGTGCAGGAGAGGCAGGACCGCAAGGGAGGAGGGCGCCCCCGGCCAGCACGCGCACGCCATGGGCGCCGCCGCGCGGCGCAAGCCACGACGGCCGCCGGCCGCAAACGGACGAGCACACAACGCGGGGTGCGGCGACCCGAATCCCCGACTGTTGGAGGGGGGACTTCGACTGGACCAAACATGTTAGCCAGCGTAGACTCCCAATACTTTATGTCGAGGAATAGATGGTGTGCAGTCGAAGTGGAACAAGCTACGGTGTGCAATCCATGCTGTACACATTGCGATGTGTAATGTATGAAGTGCTTTATCTACACAGACTTACAACTGTGTGTATATGTATACACACGTACACATATACATAAGTTATACACAGATTGCGCTCTATGGGGTGCAGACTACGTGACGCAATCAATACATACAGGTGGCGCATTCGATGTGGTGCAATCTACGGGATGCAATAGATATGAAGTGGGTCTAGGTTGTGCAATCTATGATGTGCAATCTATGTTGTGAACTCTACGTGCTGCACTCGATGTGGCATAATCAATGATACAATTTCTGCGGGGCAGTCAATGCGGTGAAATCTATCTTGTGCAATTAATTTCTGTTCGCAGTGAGTTGTCCACTCCACTGCTCGCGCAAACATCCCACCCACACACCCGCAACTTGGTTTGCAAAATCTCTGAAGACCGTGACGGTGGGTACCAAATGGCACTTGGCAACGAAAGCGACGCCGACGACGACAGCGACAACGACGACGACGCCGACAACGAGTACGACGACACCGACGACGTCTCCAACGACTTCGACGACGCCGACAACGACGACGACGACGACGACACCGACGACGACGACGACGCCGACGACGACGACGCCGACGCCGACGACGATAACAACGACGACGACGCAGACGACGCCGACGACGACGACAACGACGACACCGACGACCACGACGACGACGTTAACGACGCCGACGACGACGACGACGACGGCGGCGACGACGACGACGCCGAAGTCGACGACGAGGACGACGACGACGCCGACGCCGACGACGACGAAGACGACGACGATATCGCCAACGAAGACGACGACGAGGGAGGAGGGAGGACGACGACGGCGACAACGACGAGAACGACGAGGGA